ACTATCTACTAGAGACCATCTAGTAATGTTGGGGCTAATTACACCGTGTAGTCAGTTCTGTTGTAACTATCTTAACAGTTTTTCATTGAATCGTTTTAAGTTATTCCTTAGCTTAGGTGTTTTATATAGAAACTGTTATGGGCATGGAAAGTATGATGTATTGTGATACCTTCCAATGATAATAGAGTGCTTTCTTTCAATCTTATTTTAGTGTTTCTTGCTTTGTTACTGTTGTGAACCCAACAACAATTGGCATTGTCGAAGGTGTTATACAAGTAGAGGACTCGTGGGTAGAACACTTTTGAGGTGGAATGAAAGTTTGCAATGTCTGGAGACTCACACTTGAGAGGAAGATTGTGGGGAATTTAAGTATGGAGTCAAAAGTCCCCGAGTAGAGATAAGTAAGATTAGAAATATATATAAAGAGAAAAACCCACAAACTCATTGTCTTAATATTTTAGGTTAATGGTGGCGTCAATATAATATAAGGAGTTGGTTCATAGCTCAAGAAGTATCAAATCCACATGTCTCAGGTTAGGTACCAACTCTCCCAGGTAAATCCATTAGAAGAACCCAACATATACTATAATATAGCTATATTTCTAGTCGACATGAAATTTGCAACAATAATACATTATGCTTCAGAGTCAACAACCGAAACATGGGAGAAACTTGGAAACACAATCAAATGATGTTAATAATACATGCTTCTTCTCATGTGTAACAAGGATAAGAAAGAATGTAACATTTTAACAACGAAATGTTGCTTTTACATGCAATAACAGCTACAGCAAACCACTATAGTAAATTACCTTGTTCAGTGCCACACACTCCCTTAGGTTTTCCAGTTGATCCAGATGTGTACATCACATAGCAGAATGATCTTTGTTTTCCATTAACACATGGCCATGCCAAATCTGTTGGACCACTACAATCTTGTAGTTTTTGGCCAATGGAGTAATTCAAAACTGGACAACTACTTGACTTTACCAGCCAATGTGATTCATCAAGCTTCTCCAAATTTCTTTTACCAAAAGAAGATTGGGATCCTATAATGAGATCAACGTTTGAAGAAGAGGCAATTAACAATATCCTTTCATTTGGCCAAAAAGGATCTAGAGGCAGGAAGGCTGCCCCACACCAAAGTACCGAAAGAACAGCTACGATATATTCAACAGAAGGAGGCATATAAATCCCCACTATCTTTGGCCTATACTCTTCACTTGATTCAGCTATCGCCTCTTCACTGGGCATGACAGTTTCCAAGGACTCAGGTTTCTGCACAGTTCTCTTTTCACAGTTGACACCATTGCTACCTGCAGCAGAATACAGGATGCAAACACAAGCTTTTCCGCATTCATACACACAAACTTTTCCACATTCAGGCATATGTAAAATCTTTTCAAATACAGACATTTGAGAAGTGGAATCACATATTTTCTTAACCTGGACTAACCATCCAATAATTCCTTATTTACTTTTTTCGTTACCATGTAATAGGTGTGAAATATAACTGATTTCGCCGATAACTAATTTTGATTATAAGACCTGATTGGCCACCTTAAGCAAAGTTTTCCCTTCCAACCACATTTTTCCATTTACAAAACTAAAACACAATACCTTGAATAAGAAATTCGAGTCCAGTTCTACTCCAAGCAACGTAATGTTGGTGCGTTGTTCACTTTTATAAACATTTTCATAATTTTCACAATTCTAAAAATGAAAAAAAAAAACTACTCCCTTACTCTCCCTTCAATTTCATCGAACCAAACAGCACAAGAAAAATTCACGGCAATTTCACTCAATGCTGCCATTTACAAGCAAGAAGCTTGCTCTTGAAACTGAAAACTGACTACCTATCTAACCGTTGCAACCCTCCCGAAAATCTCACGTTGATTAGGTGCTAGGTATTTGTTGCCAAGGACGGCTTTTAATCACCCTTCTCCCTAAACTCACTGAACCCACTAAAGCAAAGCAGAAAAAACTTTGAATGTTGTGAACTAATTAAAACAATGCATTTAAGTGAAACACTATATTCGAATAAATTCCTCTACAAAAAATTCTAGAAGACGAAAACCGAAATAACCTTTTTCCAGAAACTCAAATTAGCTTATGAATAAGCTAATATGAGAGAACTTTACCAAAAAAACTTATATACATAAACTAATTTTAACTCGTTTTATTGTTCTCTGTTTAAGTGTTCCTTCAAAAGTTTATACACACTAGCTAACAATCTAAGTACCAAAACGTTCCATCGTCGAGTGAATAACTAACCTGGAGATTGTGCAGTGATCAAGTGTGGGTCATCCGCACCAAGCAGGATAGAGCGGAGGCGTGAGCTGAGGGAACGAACCGCATCCAAGACATGAGAGTAAGTGAAGCACCGGTCCCCGTCGTAAAATGGCGGAGATATGGACTCGACGTGCTTCTCTAAGAGGGCGGCAATGTCGCCGTTGAAGTCCGTGGTGGTGGAATTTTCCGGCGAAACTCCCGGCTAAGGTGCGCCCCGCCGGTAGCATGAATCACTGCGATTTTGTTAGGGTTTGCGTACGCTGTTCGAAAGAATTCGTGAGAAATGCAACAGAACTCTGCCTTACTCCTCTTTCCTCGCAAGTCTTCAGTTGTTCATCGGGTTCGTTCCGGTTATTGTGAGGTTCGTTATTTAAAGTGAAGCGGCTATACATTTTATACTAAAGTGAAAAAAATACCGGATTAAAATATTTTTAGTTTAAATAAAGTAATTGTTTTTAATCTCTTTTAAATAAGCGTATATTTTTGTCTTCTTCCTAAGAAAACTTTAATTTTTTATCCTTTAAAACTAACACGTTAAAAATCATCTGAGTTGCTGTGTGTTGTAGTGCTACATAATTTTTTTTTCTGACATCACTCCTGTCGGATTTTCTCCTCTTCTACCAACCCAATCCCAATCCCCCACCATGGACCTCAACCCCCAAACGGCGCAACGCCCCCCCTCCACCCCCCGTTGCCCTTGAGATGTTCCCATTGCCCCTCAGCCACCGACGATCCCCTCAGCCACCCGCTGCCCCTTCCCGCGCCGCTTCCTCAAATTCCTTGCCATGTCCCTCACCGCAAAACCTTCCAAAAATACCACCACAACCACTGCCCTCACCGCTAACATCTGGCCTTCAACGATGTGCTGTTTTGGTAGAGGCTTATGTCCTAACGCGGCAAATCGAACGTCGCGGTGCAGTTTTTCGAAGTTTGTGACTATGACGATGGATTAGGACTTGAAGGAGATGATAATTAGGGATTTGGATAGAGGTTTGTAGAGAGGAAGGGTTTATATAAGAGTGTTGGGAAGGCGTGGAGAGAGGGTACTTGCTTTCGGGTCCCCTGGAAGGAAATCGAGTTTGATTGCTGCTTTGGCTAATTATCTGATAAACCAGTAAGGACCCTTTTTAATGTTCAAAGATTTACAATGTATTAAGTTGAAGAATTGTTTTTGTTAATGAAAAGGTAATTTCTTAACAAGATATCATGGTTTTGGAAGGTGGGGTTGCTGAATGTAATGGATACTACAATTCCTTGTTGTCTTTCATGACAAAGCTGTGGAGGAAGTGCTTCATTAGCCCCAAAGCTCGCCACATAATTGTATCTTCCCCATCATCAAAAGAGCTTGTCAAAAAGATGGAGGTAACTGCAATCTCTCTTTCTGGTATAACAGTTTTTGTGAATGACGGTTAATGTTATAGACTATGTTTGTGGAAAAATATGATGGCTTTTTTTTACATGTAAATGTCTGTATTATTTGCTGATTTTTTGTTTGATGGTTACAGGAATATTTTCCACACATGAAAGAGTTGCCTCTAAGCTGAGCTGGGAAACGCATCTTCATGGTCTGGTCGTGTTCCCTTGTCTAGGAGCATGTTTTGTTGAGTTGATTTTTTGTTTGATGGTTACAGGAATATTTTCTCCATTATCTTCTATCAAATCACACTTAAGATTTAAATAAAGCTGGAACTAAGAAAATGGTTCATACCACTTTCGTATCTTCTTTGCTTTCTCCATTTGAATGGGATAAGGAAGATTGACAGTGGAAACTTTTTCAACATGTGCACGAAAACAAAGAATGAACTTACAGTGTCAATGGCAGAGGGTGGGGAGGGTGGGTGGAAGATGGAAGGAAGAGACGAGGAGAAAGAGGGAGAAAAGATGAGAAACACTGTCAGCGCAAGAAAAAAAATTGTGTCAGTCCACCGTTAGTCACATCAGCTGATGTTAATTTTTGAGGACTAAAATCAAAGTTTACATAAGGAGGAGGACTAAAATGTACCTTATTTTGAAAGAGGGACTAAAAACAAATTTGCTTGATAGTTTAGAGACTAAAAACATATTTAACCCTTCTTTAAATTTTATCCTTTTTTTTAATTTATTCAATTTAATTATAATATTTTTTTAATTTAATTTTAATTCTCATCAATTCTATTCGAACATTTTATAATGTGTCTCACAAGGTTAAATAATTTATATAGCTCACTATTTTTATAGAAAATCTGCAAAGTTAATCATCTTTTATTTAGAGATCTTAGTTTATTTTTTAGTAAAAAAATCTTAATACCATCAGTTTTTTTTATAATAATGTCTTAACAATGGTAAGTTCTCATTCATAATTTTTTCATTGTTTAAAAATATTTTTGTTTAATTATTTTTTATTCTTGTTATTATGTAGTTTTAATTTAATTTTTAATTTTTATTTTTAATTAGTTTTAAGTTTTTTGTAAGAAACTATTGTCCCTGTAAATTAAAATAAATTTATTTTATATAAATATTACAAATATTTTTATTAAAATTAATATTTTTATAACATTTTTAATAAATCTATTTATATTATATTTTATATTGAATTTTATTTAAAATTATTTTAAAGTTGTCAATAAATAAAAAGTAATATTAATAGAAAAACATTCCAAACTAATTATCAACTAACAATTACGTTAAATTTGTTTATTAAATTCATTTCAATTTTTTAAAATATGTAAAATTCAATTATTTCTATATAAAATTTAAGTTGATTTAGAAAATAACAATTTTATATAATTAAAATGTAAAATTTTAAAATCTTTTATAACAATTTAAAAAAAAAATTTAAAAACTGAAAAATAATTTTAAATAAAGTTCAATGTAAAATATAAAATAATAAACTTAACATTTGTATCAATATTTAATAAAAATGTGTGTATTACATTTATATAAAAATTAAATTTTGTTTTAATATGGAGAGAGACAAAATTGCTTAAGATAACAAAAATAGAACTTAATTAAGACAAAATAAAAATAATACTAAATTCAAACTAAGAGAATGACATATGACATGATAGTGATATGTGAGACTGACATTTATAACATCCTAAAAGTTATAGTGTTAAAATTATCAGGGAATCATCACATTTCAATAAACAAGAACAATTAACATATATATATATATATATATATATATATATATATAATATGATTACAGTTATCCAAAATAAAACCATAAATCAAAACTTTATATACAATATATCATATACTACTAGTAATATCTATAAAATAATTAAGGTTCTTCAAAACATAGATAATAAATCAAAAGACTTTATCTAAGCGTCAGCACCCACATCACCCAACATCTGCTCCACTGAAATATCCTCCTCAGCTCACACAAATTATGAGATCATTACTAAGAGAAAGATTCACACAAAACAAACCAACACAAGTAACAAGGTAAGCAAATTTTGAAAGATCCAAACATGCAATTTAATAAATTCAAAATATAACAATTTCATTCTCAAAGTCCATCAAAGAATCAAATAATCTAAACTCTAGACTTGACCATCTGGATACATATATTGATGTCAAACTATTAGGAGACATGTGCATGTGCGGTGAAACAACAAACCAAATTACCACATAAGGTTAATCCATCATACACCTATGGTTAAACTTATCTTAGGCTAAAGATCTCCTACTACTCCTCACCGCATAACAATCCCTCTCGACTTGAGATTAGATGACTATTGGAGTGTCGAAAACATTTTCCCATTTCGGAGTCCTTACAACAATACATTACACTAAACACAATATTAGGATTTTCTCCATGGAATTCCTTTTACCATAAACTTAAAACTGAATACATATCCGCCATTACCATTCAAAGGACATTCATAACATACTACAAACTATACATAACATCATATTAACCAACTTAAATCCAAACAAAAGATTTAAAGTCAGAAAACAACATAAAAAGCCAAAAATATGATACATAGAGATTTTCTTTTGAGATAATTGATTATCCCATATAGTTTTTTATGCAAGGATGAATTTCTCACTAAAATAATCAATTATCAAGTAAGATAATCGATTATTCCAAAGAGTGTTTAAGAAAAGATGAATTAATAACTGAAAAATCTATTATAAAGTAAGATAATCGATTATCCTTATTAATTTTTCATCTTCCATTATAACAAACTTTGATTTCTGATTTGGTTTCATCCCAAACTTATCCAAATGACCAAATTGGTATCCTTGAAACTTTGATTGAGAAACATGCTTATAACTGAAATTGAATATCAATTTGCTTATTTGGTCATGAATTAGATTCACTAGATCAAACCAATAATTCAAAAGTTCACAACTTAACTTCTACATGTTAAAAACTATGTTTTAATTATCTAAGTGGTTAAACAAGTCACAAATAACTCAAAAATAGATCTCAAACATTTACCTTCTTCCCTAATCCACTCTTTTAAATTTTCACATGTCAAAATCCCCAAAGTAGACCCAAAAAGAACCCAAAACTAAACTCTAATTAACTACATCAAGAAGTAACAGTAGACTTCAACTAATTATGATCTCATAACTATTGAGACTTTGGCAAGTGTACCAAATAGTTTCAAGTAATAAACTGGTAAGACCGGATATAGTTTCCCAAGAGACTCGTTGTCACCAAACAATCATATAATTTCTAACTAACTTAGACTAAAGAATGATTCCATAATTTGGGTTTTAATGCAATTAAGGTAAATATAAGACAAGAATAGTAAAAGTGAACTTTGGTAACTCAAACACTTAGGAATGGAAAGATTTGAGATAATATGGAATGATATTGTTGGGGGTATGATTTCACCTACTTCACTTTTATGCATGGTAATTTGCTTCCTCTTCATTAAAATGGCAATGTCAATCTATAAATTTACTCAAACTCAATCCCTTGGTAGAGAGAGCCTAGACTTCCTTGTCAGATTCCAATCCCTCTAAAAACCTAACAATTATTTCCGCATTAAGAATTGAGATTAACGACAATCAAAGGTCTTAGTTCTATTCCTAGATACAATTTCCTTTAGGTGTTCAATCCAGTTCCAAATTCACACAATATTTACCAATATTAAGCAAACCCTAAAATTATGTCATGGTTGATTACATCATAACAAGCTTTAGGTAAAGGAAGTAAACACTAACAATTAATGAAAGAGACATATAATCATTTAAAACATTGTAGTTTACATAAGAGATTCGTGATTACATCAATCCCCAACAATAAATGAAACTAGCTCTCCATGAATGGAGAGCTTAAGCTTACAACAATGGTGGAAATGAAAGAAGGGAGAAAACCCAAGGACGAACAAGGATTGTTTCCACAGCTCCTAGTTTGCCTCCAAGTGCTTCAGTAGAGAGAAATCGCATTTGGGTGCCCAAAGATACAAGTCCATTCACGTTTGAGCCCTAAATAGACCAAATTTTTCACATTAGCATCGCCACTGGTCAGTTGCACCCCAGCTACAGCTCAGCTAAAGAATTCCAGTGATAAAGCGCTTAGTTGCACCCCAACTACAACCTAGTGGCAACATTCCATAGAGGAGGCACTCAGCTGCACCCTAGCGGCAACATTCAAGAGAGTAGGCACTCAGCTGCAGGCCAGTTGCACCCCAGCTACAGCAAGCCGAGATGAATGGGGCTTCAGCTACACCCCAGCTACAGATGTCATGTTCAATGTTCTTCTTTTTCACACTTCTTCTTGCTTCTAAAGTTCTTTGATTCTTTAGATTGGCACACAAGCTTCATGTGAATGACTTAAACATAGAAAAAAGTGGGGATTAGTGATGAAATTGAATCAATACAACTCAAGATGTAATTACTTAG